TCTCCCCATCAGCATCCAATATTATACTTTTTCTTTCTTTCTTCCTTTCCAAAATAGTATCCAATATTATATGTCTTTCTTTCTTTCTTTCTTTCTTTCTTTCTTAATAACAAGTACTATTCTTTCATTCTTTTTTTTCTCATTACTACCAATAAGCTTTCTTTCTCATTACTAAATATTCTTTCTTTCTTATTTTCTTTCTTTCTTTTTTGTTTGTTTTTCTTTCTTTCTTTGTAATTGCTTCGGTTTTCCTTTACTTTTTTCTTTTATTCTCTCTTTTCGACATTACCTTTCCAAATCTATATTTTTCTCTCTCTCTCTCTTCTCTTTCTTTCTCAATTGTGAAATTCAAATGGCATGTGAAAAAGAGAAAAACTCAGTCTCTTGATTACCACCTGCCGACGGACTGGTGCCTGCAGATTCTCTCAGAATTCTCCCCTCCACCTTTTCCTAAATTATTTTCTTTTTTTTTTTCCGAAGCCGATAAACCTGCAGGAGAAATGATTTATGGCATTCACTTATCTGATTAAAAATCTATATTTGTTATTTCGACAACCACCTTCCCCAACTTTTTTTTTTTTTTTTTTTTTTATCAGTAAATTCATACGAAATATCGTCGTCCGTCCGAGGCTCGTTTTTACATCGTGGAAATAATTTTTATCTTATTTATTATTTAGTATGACAATTTATTCGGCGATTTCTGTTTTTACTTTTCATTTTTTTATTGACTGATTGACGATCAAATAGAGGCAATTGAAACGACCCGAGATATTGAAAGGTTTCGCCATTTTTTAAAGCTCTTGTCCGAGAATGAAAACTACCGTGCAATTTATTTCGTTTTTACATAGGTTCTCCCGCATCTATTACCGAAACGGCTTGTTAATCACAACTACTTTATAATCCGACTATAACTTATCTCTTTCTCTCTTGCTATCTGCATATCGTGTCTCTTCAACAACGTGACTTCTTTCCCTCACTTTCACCTTTATTTCTCTTCTATCTGCCCATTTGCTCAAATTTCTCAAGTCGCTTTCTTGATGCTTTTTGCGATGAGTCTCGTGTGTGTCAAATTCTCCAAGCATTCTTTCCTCGTTACGCATAAAAAAATTCAACTATCATTTTTCTCCATAGAACATTGAATCGATTCCCTTACAGATCCGCTTTTGGATTTTGTCGAGGTGTGATATATATGGGTAAATATCAGGGCAGACTGGGGTTCTATAGCCTTTGATGGCATTTGTTATAGGAGAGGGACGTCTCTGAATTCAAAACCTGCGGAGGGTCGTTTGGGGACCTTGTATTTACGTTAGTGCACCAGGTCTCTGTATTCGGCCCTTCAAAAAAGTGTGGATGGTTCTGCAAATCCTTTCACCACTATAATCAAATTTCATTGCTGTGTTCGGTTCCTAGAAACTGATAATGTTTGACCCTCATACGTTAATTCGAGTAAAATATATATATATATATATATATATATATATATATATATATATATATATAATGTATGTATGTATGTATGTAAAGTTTAATTTAAGCTCAGTATGGAACACTGTTTTTTAACAATAAAAACAAAAATACTAAAGAACTCCGGATTATTTACCTAACATGTTCTTTCCTATTTTTCTACATATCTGCATATATATACCTACAAATTAGGTCTGATGAATTGGATCGTATTTACGATTCCAATGGAATAAATTATAACCATGGAATATTAGTGTTTAAACCTTTTTATTATATCCTTACTCTGTCCTAGACATTGAGTTCTACCTGGATTCTATCCTTTTGGAATTTTTTTTATACAAATATATATGTATGTGTATGTATGTATGAATATATATATTTATATATTTTGCATATGTATGTGTATATTTACCACTAAAATTATCTATCTATCTATCTATCTATCTATCTATCTATCTATCTATCTATCTATCTATCTATCTATCGCAGGAGCACCAGACCAGACCAGATATTAGCAGAAATAGACCGTGCATTGCATATTGCTGCCATATCTGGTCTGGTGTTCCTGCTCTTTATCTCGAAATTCCTGTCAAAATCCAGGGAAGAGTCTGTAATGTTATCGGTCCTGACCTGGCATCTCGACTCCAGTCACTTTCTCACAGCCTCTGTCTTTTCTAAAAATATTTTCATGGCATTTGTTTCCCTCTTAGTACCCGACCGGATGAATTGAAACGTAGTACTAGATTGGCAACTAGGTCTCATCGTTTTAATGTTGAAATAGCTAAATGCAACCGTAAGTTCTATACTGATAGTTTCTTCTTTTCTCGCATTTCTCGCCTCTGGAACTCTCTTCTGATGTCTTGCTTCCCTGTAATCTTCAAAAATTTAATTGCAACATCAATCACCATCTTCTATTTTCTTGAACGCTGTTCTTTTATTGTCCTTTCTCCTCCTCCCTTTTCATCCTCTTTCACTCCAAGTACCATCTTGTGTCATAGTGGCATTATCGCCTTGCTTTGAGTGAAATGATTAAAAAAATCTTCCATATTTGTTGAATGCTGTCTCTATGTTATTCGTGACATTCGTCTATAGAACCATATATCGATTAATTCAATGTTTTTGTTTTTGTTTTGTGACGTAATTATCTAGATCTCCTGATGTCTGAGGAGAGATATTATATAGCTATTCAAAACTCTTTCCTTCGTTTGTAATGTTATTTTTTCGTTTTTTTTTGTATCTTACACCCTTCTCTAATTCTACCTTCCACATGTCAGCAAACCTTCGAATTTTCGATGTCACACTTGCTCCCGCCTGTTATTTTACTGTCCTTCACGTTAAACTTTCGCACTTGTATAATTCTGATGTCACCGATGTGTAACTCACATATAGGGTTGTTCTTTTTGCTTACTTCCATCCTTTCCGTCCGTAATGATTAGTCTTTTCTTCTTGCTTTCCTCAACGGCGTTATCTAATAGCTTTCCTTCCGTATCTTCCAGAGACATACTGTTATCTGCCTAGCCTATGTTAATGTTAATTTTTTTTTTTAGGTCTTCTGCTTATCTGAAAATCTCCCGGATGTAGAGATTAATTAAATCTGCTTAGAAAAATATCCATTTAGTATTACGTTTTTTTTTTTTTTAAATTTTGGTGGATTCACTTAATTCGTCGACTAGTCGCATACGCGCCATTTCTTCTTCGTTTCATTTTCTTTCTATGTTATTCGTACATCCTTTCTTTGTAGATCAAGTTTTCCTAATATTTCAACAAGAAAAAAATGTCACATTTTAAGGAATGGTTTTGTCTAATCTATGACAGATTTCTACCTTTCTGCTGCTTGTTCTTGTAGCATTCCGGTCTTGAATATCCCATTTTCTTGTTATATGGCTGATCAAGCTGTCTGTTAGAGTTCGCATTTATTCGAACCTGGTTCTATTTAGAGAAGCTCAAACGATCATTATTGATTAATAATATAACAACAATAAAACACCTTACTGCGCATCACGACTTTCATTTTCTTTGTTTTCTATTTTTATTTCTTTCTTTCTTTTTTCATCAATATTTAACATACTTTCTTTCCAGCTTTCTTTATCAATACTAATATTCTTCATTGTTTCGTTTATTTTCCTAATCAGTAGCGAATATTCTTTCTTTCTTTCTTTCTTTCTTTCTTTCTTTCTTTCTTTCTTTCTTCACCAGTACGCAATATTATACTTTTTTGTTTGTTTGTTTCTTTGATTTTTCTTTCTTTTATTTTCCTCGTCAATACCATATATACTTTCTTTCTTTCTTTCTTTCTTTCTTTCTTTCTTTCTTTCTTTTATTTCTTTAGTACGCAATATTATTTTTGTTTGTTTTTTTTCTTTTTTCTTTTCTTTTGTTTGTCAATTTCTTTCTTTCTTTCTTTTTTTCTTTCTTTTTTCTTTTTTCTTTCTTTCTTCACCAATAAGCAATATTATATTTTTTGTTTGTTTGTTTCTTTGATTTTTTTCTTTTTTTTTTTTTCTTTCTTTTCTTTCTTTCTTTTCTTTCTTTCTTTTCTTTCTTTCTTTCTTTCTTTCTTTCTTTCTTAATTATAAAAATTATACTTTTTTGTTTGTTTGTTTTTTTGATTTTTTTTTTAATTTTTGATTCTTTTTTTCTTTCTTTTTTTTTCTTTCTTTCTTCAGTTTCTTTAATTATATTTTTTGTTTGTTTGTTTCTTTTGATTTGATTTTTCTTTTTTTATTTTCCTCGTTCTTTACTTTCTTTTTTTGAATTTTTTTCTTTCTTTCTTTCTTTCTTTCTTTCTTTTTTTTCTTTACGCAATATTATTTTTTTTTTTGTTTGTTTCTTTGATTTTTCTTTCTTTTTATTTTTTTCGTCAATACCATATATACTTTCTTTCTAAAAGAATTTCTTTTTTTTTCAAAAAAAATTTTCTTTTTTCATTTTCTTTCTTTCTTTTCAATATTTATCTTTTTTCTTTGGTTTGTTTCTTTGATTTTCTTTCTTTTATTTTCTTTCTCTTTTCATATATACTTTCTTTTTCTTTCTTTCTTTCTTTTCTTTCTTTCTTTCTTTCTTTCTTTTTTTTTTTCTTCACCAGTACGCATTATTATCTTTTTTGTTTGTTTGTTTCTTTGATTTTTCTTTCTTTTATTTTCCTCGTCAATACCATATATACTTTCTTTCTTTCTTTCTTTCTTTCTTTCTTTCTTTCTTTCTTTCTTTCTTTCTTTCTTTCGGATTAACCGATTATACTTTTTTGTTTGTTTGTTTCTTTGATTTTTTCTTTATTAGATCCTTAATATATTTTTTTCTTTCTTGGTGTAACCGATTACGTTTTTTCCTTCCTTCTTTTTAAATCAGTTCTTTCTAAATGATTAATTTTCTTTTTTTTCTTGTAAAAAATGATTATATATTCTTTTTTCTGTATAAAAATTATGAACTTTTTTTTTTTTTTTTTATATGATGATGGATTATATCTTGCTTTCATTTCTTTTCATTTTTCTTTCTTTCTAAACCATTTTGCATCCTTCCTTCCTCTTTAAATCATTATGTATTCTTTCTTTTTTTTTATAAGCGATTATTCATTCTTTCTTTTTAAATAGTTATGGGTTTTTTTCTTTTTTTTTTTTTTCTAAATCTTTTTTTTAATACAAAATTATGAACTATTTCTGTCTTTCTTTCCTTCTTTCTTTTCTTTATTTAACAGTCTAAGATTTTCTTTCTTTTTTCTTTTCTTTCTTTCTTTCTTTCTTTCTTTTTTTCTTCACCAGTACGAATGTTATACTTTTTTGTTTGTTTCTTTCTTTGTTTTGTCTTTTTTTTTATTTTTGTGTCATGTCATATATATATAGTTTTTTTTTTCTCTTTTCCTGTATTTTTTTTTTTTTATTTTCATATAAACGTAAATAGGCAGATTTTTTTTAATTTAGTTTCAATATCCAATATTCTTTCTTTGAATTTTTTTTTTCTTTTTTTTATTTTATTTTCATTGTTTTTTTGTTTAGAAAGGGTTTAATATTGAATATTCTCTGTTTCTTTCTTTGTTTCTTTCTTTGTTTCTTTCCACAACAGTACGCAATATAATACTTTCTTTCTTTTACTTTCCTCATCAATGCCCAATATTCTTTCTTTCTTTTTTCTTTCTTTCGACACCAGTACGCAATATTATACTTCCTTTGTTTCTTTTTCTTTTTTCCTGTCTTTTGCTTTACTCATCAATACCAAATATACATTTTTCTTTCTTTCTTTCTTTCTTTTTTCTTTCTTTGAATACAAATATTTTTCATTGTTTCTTTCTTTTATTTCCTCATCGATATATAAAATCCTTTCGTTTCTTCCTATTTTATAAAGGTAAAACATATATCTGATTCATATTCCGATAAATTATCCGCCATCATTTTATCAAAATATTTCGAAATATTAAGCAAATAAAATTTCACTTATTACTGTAAATTAATGACCTCTTTTAATTTTTCGCTATCTAAGGCTTAAAATGAAAAATCATTCTTAAATATTTCTTTTTTTTAGCTTTAATTGTAAGCTAAATAATTATATTTACTATTTCCAGTATGCAAAATAGTCTGGTGTATTTCAATAGTAATTACATTGATTGGAATCTCAACTTATTGGCCGCTTTCAGAAAATCGACAAAAATCGATAAACATCGTCCCTTTTGAGAGATTTGTAAACAAAAGTTAATTCAGGATTTTAAAAATCTTCCAAAAATAAAATATATATTTGTGACACGTTCTTTGAGGAAAATTAGCTAATTAAAATTTAAATTAATCTGATTTGGAACCAATATTGCCTATAGTATAAAATTTAGGATACAAGCATTTTTTAACTATGGGTTCTTGTTTTTTCTGACGTGTTAATCGACTGATCGGTAGCCTAAGGTGTTGAAATGTTAAATATGGTAGACCAGAATTGATAGAAATTTACGAAATCTAAGTGAACGCTTTGTTTTTTGTTTTTAACTACCTAGTAATTAAAAAAAAATTAACGTAATATTTTCAGAATGATCTAATATTCTTTTGAATTTTAGTTATATATTTATTTATAGCCTTAGGCTTTTATCAAAGTAATTCTCATAAAAAAGAATAAACATAAAATAAGTAAAAAATTATTAACAAAAAAAAATTATGAAGCAGAAGTTGAAGTAAAAATAATTTGAAAGGAAATTTCAAAATGACACTGAAATTAAAAAGAACTTCAAATAGAAATTGAATAAGAAAAATTAATTCAAGTTAAAGTGAAATTATCGTTTTAGTCGAATTATATTGGCTTTCGTTCCCAGGGTACTTAACAGAAGTCTGACCCACACTAAAATAAGTACATAAAATAAAACTATTTAGTGAAATAAGAATTAAAAAAAGGAAACATTACATTCAGTTTTATTGTTTAAAATTTTGAAGGGATGATTTACAAAGCTTGTTGAGGCGTAAACACGATGAAACACAGAAATGAAAGTGAAAGGATTGCTGACGGACAGATTTTTAGGGAGGACAACTCTTAAAACACGTGATGAACATCCATTCTTAGGAAAATGGTTATATTTCTACGTTAAAAAACTAGAAATTATTTTAAAAATATTGTGGTAAACGACTTTATTAAGCTTTTCAATTTTTAATTCGTATAATTTTCACTAAATAACAATATCACTCAACCTGATTGCAGTAATGCAGAATTTTAAACGATTTAAATTATTATAATTAAAATTTAAAAAAATGTAAATCATTCTTGTAAAAATTCATAAGATTTCTTAAGACAATAGTGTCCTTAGTAAATCTTATTTATAAAATCAATTAAAATCTTTTCTAATCAAATAATGTCTCAGTTTTATTGCATTTTTGATTTTACGATTCAGAGCAGATTTTTGGTAAATGGCGGTTCTGTTTTACAAAAAAAAAAACAAGAAAAAAAAAAACAAAAAAAACAAAGAAAACAGAAAACAAAAACAAAACAAAACAAAACACAAAAAAACAAAAAACAAAACAAAAAAAAAACAAAAAAAAAACAAACAGAAGAAACTGATGATTTAAATTCTCCAAGGAGTACTGCTTAACAAATTTTGAGATTTCAATTTAATTTCCGAAATTTCATGAAATTCAGTAAGTGGAGTGAAGGTGGGAGTGACACATGTAAACAAATAGCACAATTTAAAAAAAAAAAAAATTTCTAAAATAATTTCATTCATTTGTGAATAAGTCCTGAAAGTTACATTAAAACCCGACAATTATTTGATTTTTGCAAGAATTTCCAAATCAATGTGTTTTTCACCTGAAAAAATGCACAAAAAGACTAATCGGAACTATTATGTCGACCGCTGAAGTAAAAAAAAAAAAAAAAAATTAACCAAAATTTTGAATGTGTCAGAGAGGAGTAAAAAATTTTTAAAAAATAATTAAACACTATTTTGTTCTTTCCTCTTAATAATGACATAAGCATTTTGACGATGAAACTTTGTTTTTATTAAGTTTGGGGTCTTTTTTCATCAAACTATGTTGTTTTTTCATGTAGTTACATGAAATAAATTCAACTGTTATTTTTTTTTATTAAAATATTAAATTATTATGAATGAAATATGAAATTTATTGTCAATATTTTATTAAAGCATTACTTATTGTAAAATAGTGCAATCAATTTAGCATGACTTAATATGACATAAATAAAAAAAATACTTATTTAACTGAAAAATTTTAATTATTCCTAGGAATTAAATAGAAATATGACATAATTTATTATTATAAATTATTAAATAAAAACAATATTTTATTATTATAAATAAATTAACAACAAAAAGATTATTTATTTAGTACGATAAATGAATTAAATGAAATGTCAGTTAATTTCATCCTGTAAATTAATTAAAAGAAAATATTATTTATTAAAAAAAAATCTTTTTTTAATACTATAAATTAAATAATTAAAAATATTATATTTTTGATGTAAATTAATTCAACAAAAATACTGTATTTTATTACTTTTATTTAAGTAAAAACATTTATGATATAAATTAAACAAAAACCTTACTTCTTTTATAACTTTTAATTAAGTAAACATATTTTATTGTAATAAATTGATTATATAAAAATAAGATTTATTTCATTACTATGAATTAATTAACTCGCAGTAATACCTGTATACGTTTTTTTTTCACCTGACCAGAAGATTAAGTTGTTAATTTTTTATCATTGTTCTTTTTTGCCTTTTATCATTAATAATCGATTGTAATCGATTTTTTCGACTTTAAATATTATTTTGAATGTTGCAATGTGCGGTGAGTAAATAATTCATTTTGTAAAGTTGAAATGATGTTATTTCTTTATAAAACATTAAATAATTATTTTCTTGGACTCATGTCTTCTTCTTGGTTGCCATCATCACAAAATTACGCCCGATGTAGTCTTCTGCTTTCTCCAGGTGTTTCTCATAGTTGTTAAACATTTCTTTAATATTTGAATTGTTTGTTATTCGATTGGGATTTTGCAAAGCTGCTATTTGTGTGCTCTCTAACGAAGACAAGTATGGTACAAGATCGGTTTAATGTGGGTTCCCTCAGGCTTAAAATAGTTTTTCATTTATTCATCTCCTTTAGTTTAATTCATTTCATTTTCTTTCTTTCTTTCTTTCTTTCTTTCTTTCTTTCTTTCTTTCTTTCTTTCTTTCTTTTTTAGCGCTTTATCCTTTTTTTATTCTTTCCTTATTTTTCTTGGCGCTTTCTTTAATTTATCGATCTCCCTTTTCTTTCTTTCTTTATTTCTTTCCTTCTTTCTTACTTTCTTTTTCCTTTCTTTTTTCTTTCTTTCTTTCTTTCTTTCTTTCTTTCTTTCTTTCTTAGCGCTTTATCCTTTTTTTATTCTTTCTATCTTTTTCTTGGCGCTTTCTTTAATTTATCTATCTCCCTTTCCTTTCTTTCTTTCTTTCTTTCTTTATTTCATTCATTCTTTCTTTCTTTCTTTCCTTCATTCTTTCTTTCTTTCTTTTTTAGCGCTTTATCCTTTTTTTATTCTTTCTATCTTTTTCTTGGCGCTTTCTTTAATTTATCTATCTCCCTTTCCTTTCTTTCTTTCTTTCTTTCTTTCTTTCTTTCATTCATTCTTTATTTCTTTCCTTCATTCATTCTTTCTTTCTTTCTTTTTTAACGCTTTATCCTTTTTTTATTCTTTCTATATTTTTTGGCGCTTTCTTTAATTTATCTATCTCCGTTTTCTTTCTTTCAATCTTTCTTTCTTTCTTTCTTTCTTTCTTTCTTAGCGCTTTATCATAATTTCTCTTTTTTTATTCTTCTTTATATCTTTCTTTTTCTTTCATTTATCTAACTTCCCAATTTTTCTTTCTTTCTTTCTTTCTATTTTATCACATTTTTTCATTATTTTCCCTTCTTTCTTTCTTTCTTTCTTTCTTTCTTTATTAGCGCCGTGTATAATTTCATTTTTACATTTTTTCCCCTCCTTTCATTCTTTCTGTTTATTATACTTTCTCTCTAAATTTCTACCACTCTCTTTATTTCACCTGCCATGCTTTCTTCTTTTTTCAATTCCTTCTGTTTCTCCCCAACGCCAACTTTCTCATTCTCTCTAACTCTCTTTATATTTCATTTTACCCCCCTCTCTCTCTCTAGTATTTTTTCTCTATCTTCCTTTTTTTTCCTATTCGTCAACATTAGCGAAGACATACCTCCTTTCGTACGGCATATTGCCAAAAAAAACAGCCCACTTTTGCTGCAGGCGTCAGGGCGTACAATGGAAAGGTATTTCCTACGAGACCATGTCCCAGAGCGCAGGTACGAAGAAAAATTTCCACAACGTTGCACGGGAGAACTTCCATGTTTGTCTGTGGTTCTCCATTATATTTTCTCTCTTTTAAATTACCTTACAACTCTTTATCTGTTACTAATACACTCTAAACCATCCCCGTCTGGAAAACTGTGGTGTGCTGGTGAGGGGTTACCTTTAACCCCTAACGCTTAGGTAGTTTCCAGTAAGACCGAAGACACAGCGTAAGTGAAGTCCTCAATGATGCTTTCACCGTGGACGTCTCGAACTTAACAATAGACATTTTTTTAAGAAGTCAAGCCCGGACCTGACCGGGTTACGTCTTCCATTGACCTGGCTGTCCACAATCGTGTGCAGAGTCAGGACTTGGTGACATTTCTGAGTTGACTAGTCCTGACCTCAATCCAAACATCACCGATCCTCCTGGCATCGTATGTGACTCCCCGAGAAGTGCATGGGGGGCATCTGTCACCAGGGTGATTTTCAGACTCACTCCAAGACCGACATTCTGAAACTACCTTTTGCCTTTGCATAGTAAATTGTTTGAGATGTCAGTAACGGGATTTAGGGATATGGCCTACGTGATCGTCCCTCGTCGGGTATTTCGAGACAAATGGGACGGAGAAGAAAGGGTAAGGGTGTGAGAAAGTGGAATGAGAAAGGGGTCAGTATTGTTTGACCCCAGTGCGTAGCTAGAGTAATTTGACATTTCGCCGGGCAAAAGGAGGCATTTTTCGTCAATGTTGACGAATTTAGGAAAAAAAAAAAAAAAACAGCACAAGAGTGAGTGAGGAGAGAAAGAACGAGAAAGAGAGAGAGAGAGAGAGAGAGAGAGATAGAGAGAGAGAGAGAGAGAGAGAGGGGGAGAAAGAAAAGAGAAAGAATTAAAGTAAAATACAAATAAGTCACAGTGACAGAGAGGGAAAAAAGGTAGATAAGAAGAACGAAAGGAAGGAAAGAAGGGATGAGAGAAAGAACGAAAGAAAAAAGAAAGAAAAGAAAAGAAACATGGAAAAAAGAAGTAAAGAAAGGGAAGAATTGATAAAAGAAAAATATAATAACGCACTATGAAAAAAGTAAGAAAGAAAGAAAGGAAGAAAGAAAGAAAGAAAGAGATGAAAATGAATGAAAAAAGGAAATAAATGAATGACAAATGCGATAAATCTGTGTAAAAGGAAAGAAAGAAATAGCGAAAAAAAACGCAAAGAAAGAAAGAGAGAGAGAAAAATAAATAAAAGAATGAAAGAAAATGCGATAACACTCTGTAAAAAGAAGAAAAAAGATAGAAAGAAAACAAAAAGAAAGAAAGAAAAACAGAAAGAAAGAAAAGCAAAAGAATGAAAGAAAGCAAAAATTAAGAAAAGTAAGAAAAAGAGCAAAAGACAATAACTGAAAGAAAATGCAATAAATCTTTATGAAAGATAAGAAAGAAATAGTGAAAGAAAAGAAAGACATAAAAATGAACGAAAAAAGGAATGAAAGAAAAAGAGAAAAAAAATAAATGTATGAAAGAAAATCTAATCAATCAATGACTGGAATAAATAGAAAATATGAATATAAAGACAGACAGACAGACAGAAAGAAAGAAAGAAAGAAAGAAAGAAAGAAAGAAAGAAAGAAAGAAAGTAAGTAAGAAAATGAACGAGATAGATAGATAGCTAGATAGATAGCTAGATAGCTAGCTAGCTAGATAGATAGATATGAAGAGAATAAAAAAATGGAAGGAGACAATATTTTGTTTGAAGGAAAGATATTTACTAAAAGGAAGAAAAAGAAAAATAGAACAAAAAGAATGAGAGAAAGTAAAATAAACGAAGTGAATATATATATATATATATATATATATATATACAGAGAGAGAGAGAGAGAGAGAGAGAGAGAGAGAGAAATTATGAAAGATATTCATTAGGAAAAGTGGAAGGAAATTTGCTAGGGAAAACGAATTTGAAACTGAAAAGAAAAGAACAAAAATTGTGATAGAAATAAAAAGACAAAAATAAATAAATAACGAGTTTAAAAAATAAAAATAACAAAATTTAAGACCCCCCCCCACCAAAAAAAAAAAAGAATTGAGGAAGTAAATTATGCTGAGCACAAGCCACACAAAACTATCTTCAGCCTATTACGATCAGTGGTATATTTTCCATAACAACTAACTCTCGTAATTTTCCCCATTTTTCGTTTAGGCCAATAATGCAGCCCCTCTTCCTGAAAAAAGAGCCCTCTGAAACTTAGAACATGTTCAGAAGAAGCCGAAATAACTCAGCCTTCGTAACACTTGTGGCCTCAACATGAAAACAATCACAAAAACAGAAAAGGAAAAAAAAAAAGGAAAAAAAAGAAGCAAGCAAGTCTCCTTTAGCAAATAAATATGGCTTCCCCGTCGATGATATTCTAATTAAGCTAATAGTCATTGATTTCAGCCTTCGCCCCAGGCCCTACGGCTATAATTTCCCTGGGAGAACGCGTCGTCGACCACTCTTTTCCACCGGATAGTACTAAAAATTCCATTAATAACGGAGGATCTTTTTCTTGCCTCAGGTCTTCCGGTGAATATAACTTGACATTTAAAATGCCGACGCCATAGAACGCTTTCCCGTGGAATCGTGGTCCTGACGTACGGATAAATAATACCTTTTAGATATTGACTCACTGACTGGGAATATGTTCCTGGAGGTCGGGGACTTTGTCAAGTTTGACTCATCTTTTCTTCATCTATGTTTTTCACTGGGTTTTGATCTTTCTATTAAAAATGATATCGTCCACTTCTACTTACATTTCTTTAAATAAGGCATATTTCTTTTATCTGCTTCTTCATTGGCTGGTTACTCGATGGCTAGAACACCCGTTTTTTTTTCTTAGTTTAGGTCACCTACTGCAAGGCCAAAGATCTACTCAAGGTAGAGGGATACTGAATGAGATTGTAGTAAGTATGCGGGAAGGGCATATTATAAGGACGTGGAGGATATATATCGGTTGTCCTTGGGCTTGAAGAGGTTTAGAGTGTCGTGGTTAGCGAAACATCTTCTTGGGAGTCTGTTCCAGAAAGTAACAGTTCTGCGGAAGAGGCTGTCTGAGTGGAACTTACTACTTAGCAAAGGAATATGAAAGGAGTGGAGATGATTTGCCAATGTGAACACGGCATGGTGGGAGTTCCTAGTTGTGACAATCTGAGCTGGTGGCTCTAAAGGCTGTAACTCATTAGAACATTTGCCATAGTAATAACGATAGAGTATTGAGAGGTTAGCAACGTGGAAAATATTGTATCACGAATAAGGCAGCGTAACCGCTTTTGAACACTGTCAAGGCTGGACAGTAATAACTGGCCAGCCCAGATAAGGCAGCAGTCTGTTCCCCAAAGTAGCGGTGCTCGGGCAAAAGCTGTTTGAATAGAACTTTCTCCTTATATTATTTTTTTTTATATAATAATGTTTATCCCGTACGAGGCCCAAAAGCCAGTCAAAGTTAGAGGGTTACAGAATAAGAGACATCACTCCAAGCAAGGTGATAATGCAACCATGACGCAAGGGGCCACCTGCAGTGGAAGAGAAGGAAAATATTTTAGAAGGAAACGGAAACACAGTTCTAAACAGGGAACAAGGGATTAACCCCTACTCCTGTTTAAATGATCGGGAAGGAATGTCAAACGTACGATAGACAAAACTACTGGAATACGAAGGAAATGTGGGTGATTTTAACTCTGTCGATGTAACATGGCGTTCCTAGCTGAAATGGTCTGGACTGCTGGAACTAAAAATGTACATCTTGAACATTTACCCTGGGAAAAAACGCATTAGTGCCATGATAATGCTTCAGATGTATCTGGTGCGGGATCAGTATTCCTCCCATCAGACAATGTAAACGATTTTGTACACAAGCAAGGATGGAAATTGCGCAACCCCAGCACTGATAGGGCAGAAATACGCCATTCTTTTTTTGGGGCTGACTCTTGCAAAAATAGAGTATGGCAGGAGGAATTAGATATTACCTGGTGCATTACCGGCCATTCTTTGGTCATTTTTAGCGATGGCACGAATATAGCAGTTACATTTAAGGATTCGGGTGAATAAACTCTCCTGTGGCAGACACACGTACAGACAAATTTTTTTAATGGTCGACCCCAGCGTTTCTCAACCGGAGTTCCCTGGAACTCTAGGGATTCACAAAAGGTCTCCAAGGGTTCTTCGAGAACAGGTGAGATAAGCTAATGCACTTTTAAATTTTTATTTAATTACATATACGTAATATTTCTAAATACACTCAATATATTCTTGGTTATTGCAATATTGTAATATCATTCTATCTAAACTATATATATATATATATTGTCTTGATCTACCCTGTCTTTTCAACATTGCCAGTGGAGTAATGGATAGCGGCTCGGATTGAGGAATCGGAGAGCCGAGTTCGAATTCCATTTGAATCCATTACATTCCCTTACTTGCTAATGCCCCTGGGAAAGGTATAAATCCTCTTCTTTTTCCCCCAACACCCCAAACTATAGGTAAATAGCAGGACAGACCGGGTTCTGTAACCTTGGCGGGCAATTGGTCTACCGCAGAAAGAAATGGCAGCCTACTGCGGAAAAAAATCTGTCTCGTCAGTCATGTATTGAAAGATACATGATCGCCTAAGCGTGTATCACGCATGGAACATTACTGACAGTAAAGGATAAAATAATAATAAAAAAAAAAAAACTGATGCCGCAATTATCTATTTATATTATAGTTTATATGATATTGCTTACTTATGTTTATTTTTCATGTCTGAGTGTAGAACTTTTTCGTGTGTGAATGAAAATTTCTTGATGAAGTATTATAAAAGAACAGTATGAATTTTATTTAGCATTACCGAAAAATTTGACAAAGAAGAGTTAATTTTTCCTTAAACCAGTTATTCAAAAATATATCCTATGATATTTACCACGTGAACTACGATGAAAATAAAATGAGAAAGATATGGTATATAATTTTGTTTTGGCGCAGGGGTTCCTTAAGACATGTCATTTATTTTAAGGGTTACGCAAGGGGTAAAAAGGTTGAGAAACGCTGATCTCCCCACTAGGCATTGTTTTTTTCTTCTTCCAACTCTGTATTGCTTCCTTTCCCTTCATGTTTAACGGTTTACCATCTCTTTATGCCTTTTTACTGACATCCCTATATTGCTTCTTCTTTGATCTGCCCTGTCCCTTCAGGTCAAGAAAGATCACGACTCTCCACAGCTTCCTGTCTGTTTTGATACAAATAACTTTTAACATACTTTTCTGTCTTTGGTCTGCCATCTCTATGTTGCTTCTTCTTCTTTGATCTGCCCTGTCCCTTCAGGTCAAGAAAGGTCACGACTCTCCACAGCTTCCTATCTGTTTTGATACAAAAACTTTTAACTCTTTAACCTCCTTTTCTGTCTTTGGTCTGCGATCTCTATGTCGCTTCTTCTTTGATGTGCCATGTCCCTTCAGGACAAGAAAGGTCACGGCTCTCCATAGCGTCCTGTCTGTTTTGCTATAAATAACTTCTATCTCTTTACCATCGCTTTTTGTCTTTTTCTGTCATCTCTATATTGCGTATTTTTCTTTCATGTGCAATGTCCCTTCAAGGCAAGAACGGTCATGGCTCTCCACAGCTTCTTGTCTGCTTTTGCTATAAATAGCTACTGACTCCTTGCCATCCGTTTCTGTCTTTGGTCTGCGATCATTATCTTGCTTCTTCTTTGATGTACCATGTCCCTTCAGACCAAGAACGGTCATGGCTCTCCACAACTTCCTGTCTGATTTTGCTATAGATAACTTCTAAATCGTTACCACCCTTTCTGTTTTTGTTTTACCATCTATATGTTGGTCCTTCTTTTATGTGCCATGTCTTTTCAGGATGTGGTGATCACGGCTCTCCCCAACGTTCTCTCTTCTCTTGCTCTAAGTAACGTTTAACTATTTGTCATTTCTCTTTGTCTTTTACTATCTATTCACAAAAGTTCATTAATATGTTACTCACTATTTCTTGCTTCACTTACGTTTAATAAGTCCTTTGAGTGTTAGATTCGCGGATTCCTCTTTCCTCATATGTCTTAGAAATGTGCTTTGTCTTATTGTTGCTTTTTATAATAGCTTTAACGTTCGATATAATCTTTGACCAAGATAACGTGGGATCGAAAATAAAAAAAATATTTCTGATGAGTTTTGAAAATTATTTGCTGAAAGAAACTTTTTCTCCCCAATCCACACACGCACTTGTCTTCTATACACAATTATATTAATAGTTTTATATTTTAAAAAATGAACGAAGTCCACTTCTGCATCACAGTTTCCCAGGTTACAATTTTATTCACCGAATTTGCAGCACTGACCTTCGTTCGGCCAAAGTTTGAAGCTCGAATCGAGTGAAACTTTGAATGAATTACATATTATAGAACGACGTTTATTTCTTCGTTATTTACTAAGCTTGAAATTTTCTTCTTCTTCTTCTTCTTCTTCTTCTTCTTCTTTTTCCTCTTCCTCCTCCTCCTTCTTCCTCCTATTCTTCCTCCTCCTCCTCCTCCTCCTTCTTCTCTTCCTCCTCCTTCTTCTCTTTCTCTTTCTTCTCCTCCTTCTTCTTCATCTCCTCCTCTTCCTTCTTCTTCTTCTTCTTTGTATCGTATCCCTTCAGGGCATGAGCGATCATGGTTCTCCATAACTCCCTATCCTCTGAAGCTCTTAGTAAAGATTGTCTTTTTGCTATATCTCTCAATACATCTCATACTATCCATTTACACAAGCTCCGTAGCATTCTAGCTCAAGCGGCTCTTGGGCCTTGTACAGAGTGAACATCACTGCAAAAAAAAAGACTCGAATAATTTTAGTCTTTCTTGTAATTAGTGCTATATAGTATTTTCGTATTATATAGTAACAGTTTTCTTATGTTAAGAGTTTTA